AATTATTAAAAATATTACCTTCCTTCAATCCGGGCTATATTTTAAATTCCTTAAACTCTTAATCTTGAATTATTGAAATCTTGAAACCTTAAGATCTTAAGATTACAACCTTAGAAGTTAGAATCTTACAACCTGAAAATATAAACATCCTAAAGTCGTCGAATCTTGACTTCTTAAAACCCTCATGTCTTTGAATCTTCAGATGTTCAAAACTTAAAATATGAAATTCCTAAATTCTCAAAATCTTAAAATCTCAGAATCTTAAAAGTTTCAAACACTTAAATTCTTTCAATCTCGAACTATTGCAATCTGAAAATCTTAAATTCATAAACAAGAAAAAATATTGTAAAATTCCTTCAATCCGGGCTATATTTGAAATTCCTTAAACTCTCAATCTTGAAATTTTGAAGTCTTGACATCTTAAGATATTAAAATCTTAAATTACGAAAGTCGCCAAATCTGAAAATCTCACAAACATAAAATCTTAAAGCCTTCGAAATCTGATACTGGATGGAAAATGGCTGGGCAATGGCCTGGCTGTTATATGAAAAACCTTAAATCTTTGAATCTTAAAACCTTAATTCTTAAACCATTGAAACCTTAAATTCCGAAAGTCTTCAAATCTGAGTCCCTTAGAATCTCAAAGTTTTTTGGAATTTTAAACTCTTAACATCTACTAATCGGACTTACAGGAAAGGGAAGTGACAGAACGGGCAGGGCAAGGTGCCCGGTGGCCGGCTGTGTCGCGTCAGCGTGTAAATCCGGCCACCGGACGTGATCGGGCCGCAGGCCAAAGCCCGCCCATGCCGCCGACCATGCGCGGACCATGACCAGAACATGCGCATACGTTTTATGCTGGGCCCTCCCTTATAAGGGGCGAAGGATTTGCGGATTGGTTTAGGCGTTTTTGTAGCATCTCCCCGCAGCATCCAAAAACGAGTCCAGAAACGAGTATTTTTGGGGGGTGCCTAAAACTGGACAACACCCCCAGCATTGCCAGCATCATCCCGGATGATGCGGATGATGCTATGCATGCTGGCGATGCGAAACAAGGGGCTGAAAGGAAACAGGAGTGACTGGAAAGTGAACGAAATGCAAGTCAAAGGCATTGCACGAAAATGAAGAGGGCGCTGGAGAGAAACCGAGCTGCAGGAAAATGAAAGATCGAAAAGGGAAAGGAATGCGAATGAAGGAGTCTTCAAGGAAATGAAGGGAGCTGAAGCGGCAGTGAAGTGGAAGGAAGTGAAGGGACATGCCAGGAAACTTAGAGGGAAAGGAGATGAAAGAACGGGAGGGGTGCCCGGTGGCCGGCTGTGTCGCGTCAGCGTGTAAATAATATGTTGTTTGTATTCGACTCAAAGCAAGGAGATGCGTTCTGCCACCAAGCCCCTGCCCAGACAGGTTCGCCTCCTCTCCACGCATGGACTCAGCCTGCATGCTGGCGTGCCCACTCTCACAATCCAACTATCAACTCTTGACAAAATCCATCAGCGGCTCCTGCATCTGCTCCTGGGAAATGAGGGTGCGCCCACGTTCCTTCGGCGCCCTCGGGATTCAAGGCATGTGAAACAGAACCCGAATGCGCACCTGTGCGCACAAACCTGATCGGGACACATCACACTCTGGGTCACCGGCTTGAAGAGAAATATTGAAATTGGAATACACGCCACTATGCAAACCTGGGACAGCATCCAAACACATCACACACCTGTGAAATCTGCCCAGCGAATCCGAGGGCTGCACAATAATCACGACGGTGACTCAGTTTTGCAGCAATTTCCACAAGAAGCAACGCGTATGATAAGCCAGCAATCTACACCAACATCTAGGATCTTCGGCCAATGATGGCAGTGACCACCCCGCTGGGACACTCCAACGAAGCCTCAGCGAAGAATTGAGGACCCTGCGGGGTGTGAAGGCCTGCCCATCCTGCCTCATCGTAGTCCAAATGCCAGCCATCTCGTCTCGCAACCTTTTCTTCTCCACTCACAATGGAAGCAACGAAGCATACAGCTCAGAACCCCTTGTTGCTAAACCGGCAACAGAAAAACTCTATGGCCATCTGTCCTTCGCACATTAGCCAGCTGCACCGCGTTGCCTAAGAAGCAGGCGTACATGGCAGCAAACCACGCCATCAGGGCATCCCTGCCAACAGGGAAGGGAGAACGCCGGGCAGCAAGGCCAAGCCCCACGTGTTTCTGCAAAGGAGCCTGGCCTATCTGGCCCATTGTTGCAGTCACTGGGAACACAGAAAGTTTCGTGCACCTCGGCTGACCCTTGCTGCAAGCAAGCAGGGGCCTACGGCGGCACCCGCGCAAAGGCAAAATGCAATCGGGGGAAAAGAAAAACAAACGGAAGCGCCCCGGCGACGCAGCCATGCAATGGCACGTCAAACATGCGTCTTCAGCGACTCCCCTAGCGCCGTAGAAGAAAGGATGTGAATCGAATAAGTTTTGTCCAGAGTTTGATTTTTGAGGCCGGATGTCCAGGCAGGACTGTTGCAAACAGCGACTCCGCCGCAGCGGCTTCCTGGGATGAACCCAGCGGCCACACCGTAGCGCCGACGACAGTTTCCCGTTCTTTCCTGTAGCTGCGGATGAGTCAGAAGGGCCTGCCCTTGCCGAGCAGCTGGGATGATCTGTCTTCTGCCCCGATCCACCATGGCCTGAAGTTGCAGTTGGCGGCCAAGTGGTGGGCACTGAGCCCGTCCGGAGAGAGCCCTGTGAGTGGCAAAGGAGACCTGCCGCAGTTGAGAGGCGATGTCCCTGAAATTGGCAACATGCTCCTGAGGGGTCTCTTGATTTCGGCGGACAACAACTGTCGACCGCCAAGAGGATGGCCAGACCCGGCGCGCAAACTCCTGGCTCCCCGCCGCAGCCGGGAGCTCGAAGCCATCCCCACCCAGGATGGCCGGCCACAACCCGCTCCCCGCTGAAGGCGCCGAAATACCCGGCGGAGTCGTCCTGCTTCGAAGAACATGTAGTAGAATGCCCAGCCGCTGACCGGCTCGATCCCGGCGCCGCTGCAAAACGTGTGCACACGCTGGGCCTCAGCCTCCAGCACTGCAAGCGACTCGGACGACATGGTCGCTTGCAAGAGACTCCTGGAAGCGACTCCTGGAAGCAAAGAAAATGACTGACTGTTGGATCTTGTGCCCCAATAGGCAGTTCGTGGATGTAAAATCATGGTTCATCACCAAACCTGCCAGACCTGAATGCACTGCAAATTCTAATGGACACCAATTTCAATTGTACTCAAATCGACAGGTGCTTGGCCCAGCACTTCAACCTCCGGAGCCCCCGTTCTGAAGAAGGGCTTTCGCTTCACTATGCAAGCCTCCCAAGGCGGAATGTGGTGCTCCACATTTTTAAGGCTTTGGGGCCAGGTCTTGCAGCAAATGGAGGCAAACACCTGCCTGTCCAAAGTTCTGGTCACAGAGTGTGATCATGTTCTGGTGCAGGCACAAAGATGTGCACCTTGAGAAATGCTGCTAGCACCAGGAAGTGATTGGCATGCAGGAACTGAGCATGCACATACTGCTTGTTTTAAGATTGTGCATCGCCTGCCAGCAATGTTTCTCAAGGCTGATGCTGAAAAGAATCTGTTTCTGACAAAACATGACAAACAGCTGAAACTCTTTTTTTTCTCTCTCTCTCTCCCTCTCTCTCGCTCCTTGTCCATTAGGCGACTGGTCCCACTGTGGTTTCACTCAAGAAACAAGTTTGATCAAATATGCTCACCCAATAGGGTTTTGTTGGAATAACTTGCTCAAGACTGACTGCAGGCAGACTTCCAGTTGAGCACAGCCGGGTAACCTATTGAAGGCTTTCCTTGAGGAGGGCACCCACTGCAGTCCTCCCCTTTGCCTTCTGCAAAGTTGGCAATCCTGAGGCTTCAAACAATCCAAACGCGAAGTGCAAAAGCTTCTCCCACCTGCAGCAGCTAGCCATTGTATTCTCCAACCGCAGTCGGCACCTCAGGCACACACAATGCTCTGCGCTTCCAACAAAGTGTTGGAACTAGCTGGCAATGCGAGCAAGTCCTAAGCATTGGCACCAGCGCGTGGCAGACTTGTTCACATACACCCAATTCCTGGGTCAAACAATAGCTGCAGGGCCTGGGCTGACCCAAAATGGGACACTGTTGCCTGCAAACCAAGCCCCTCACGGATCATTCAACATGTCGAACAGTCCTGTCCTGCAGAAAAAGATTTAAAAAAAGGACTTCATGTCTTAAGCAAAACCGAAATCCAGACATCCCCAAGCCTACATTGCCTGGATGTGGTCAGCCGCCTGGGAGCGGCTTCGTCCTGCGTCTAGCTGCGCGCACGTGAGCTGAATAGCATCGGCCAATGCTCGGCCAATGCTCGGCCAATGCTCGGCCAATGCTCAGCATGCCCTGCGGCTCTCTCAAAAACAAAATGTCGAAGCTTCCTCACTCACAGCGGCTAGAGCAGGCGCTGCAAGCAAACCAGCCTGCAAGCATGGCCTGTGACTTGAAAGCTTGATGCGAGCACTGCACAGGCCCGCACCATCCACGGGAACAGAAGCCTGGCCGACTCACAAGGATGGCAGGAAACCTATGCGCAGATTGAGGTCCTGGCATTTTGACCGCAACGACTCCAAGAAAGCCAGCACACTTTGGTGATCAATATGCGTTGATGAAAGCGATATCTCCGTCATGCAGAAATTGCTGCTTCAATTTGTAGATGTTGTTTGTGTGGTACATCTGCGGGTTTCTTGTAAGCCGGTACTTAACAGTACTATGCAGATTGAACAAAAAACGACTTGCATGTTTTCAACTAAATGTGGAATGTGAATATTTGTTCGAATCAAGGGTGTACTTTCACCCACCGATTTGTTGCTCTTCAAGCCAAGCTTGCAACATGGCACAAGCTCACAAATAATTGGATGTTCAACAAACCTGTTGCCTGGTGCGAGTCACAAACACCAAACTGAAATTTCAACATGTCAGTGAAGCTCCCTTCTTGCGAGCAACTTTGGCCGAAGCTTCGGGCTAATTGATCACGAGTCGATCAATGCAGCACCTCGGTTCATTAGCCACTCAGCAGAACGTTGCATGCATGCTGTTTTCATGATCGCCTCGTCATTGTCTGTCATCGTATCCAAGATGGTCTGTGTCGTGTCCCTTCATAGAGTCCCATCACCTGTTCATTGCATGGTGAATGCAATAAACAAAATGAAAAGCGCAGGATGTTCCATGGCATGCCGTTCAATCAACGGCCAGGCAACGCATCAGCATGCTCTCTGGCCGCAAGGCCGCGACCACTGACTTGATCCAAGCCTGTGTGCCACAAAAAGCAGTCCACGGTATCAAATGTGTGTATGTGCGTCTCTGTCATTCTTTAATGAGGCTGCCATGCTCCGAGAATAAATTGCATCAGCTCATCCAGTCGAGCTCCTGCCTGATCTTGGGATGGTATGTCTGCCTCGTCCCTAATCCTCCTCCTTGTGATGACCAACGTGGCATTCTTTTCAGCCTTAAGCATCCTCTTCTGCACCACGTTCATCCGGAGCATCTACAAACGCCTGGACGCATCATGGCTCGCCACAAAAAAATCGCACAAAAATTGCCAAGCTACAGCAGCAATAGCTGGAAGTACCTGCAGCAGCCACATCAGCTGCTGCACGCAAAAGAGGAAAATGCAAATAATCAACCAAGCAAAACAATGTCTGGCAAGTTTGGGCCTCCACAATCACGACGCAGGGATGCCGGGACTTGCGCTGGGCAGCATCAACTTGGCAGATTGCCTGCCAATGATTGCTACTTCGAGGGAATGTGATTTCCCAAATCCTGAGCCTCCTCGGCAAGACCTGGCACATTGCTAGACATTGCATAAATGCAAGCGAATGCAAGGAAGCCCACATTGCTCAACCTGCCACAGGTTGCGCACCAAAATGGGCTTCTGCCAACCAGGGGTGGGTCGGGATATGCTTTACGCACCGTTTCTGCGAACAGTCGGCTGCGAGCCAGAACCAGCAACCGGCTGGATAGACCTGGCATGTGCACGAAGTAGCAGGTAATGGCCTCAAAAGGAGTGAAGCCTTCACTGAAGCTCACAACCCACATGGCAGTTGCTGAGCATAAAGGTGAAACAGGTGCACAAGGGTGTGACGTCTTGCCAGGAAGCACCATTGTAGCATGCCTGCCCAAAAAGCATGTGTCGGAATGCCAAAGCGTAAGATCACCCAACTACTCGGCCTCTGAGTAAACCAGCTTTCCCGGATAGCCAGGCCTCAAGCAAAGAGGAAAACAATAACAACATAAAAACAGCAATGCAGGACATCTCAAGTGAATCGATCCCAGGGAATACTGTGCAAGCAGTCAGCATGGGAGCAAGGCAGGCAACCAAAAAGGCAAGTGTCTACCAAAAAAAGTTCAACTCCACATGAGGCTGTAACGTGAGAAGAGCAGCTGCTGGCACGATCCCAGCAGGTACTGCCCTTTCCTCGAAGGCTGTGGCTGGCAGCCTTTGCATCGAAAATGAACCAGCCCCGGGCCTCTGATGTTCGAGCTGTGGTATTGATCAAGGCTGAAGGAAACAGGAACCTTGAAACCCGCCATCCAAATCTGCAAAAATTGTCTGGACACGCATAGTGCTGCATTCCGATTGAAAAGCATTGAACATGCTACCCGCAAGTCGTTTGCTCACATGTGAGCTTCAGGCTCGTGAGGTAAAGGCCTTGGTGTGTAAATTCCCAAAGCAATTTGAAAGCACAACGTAAGTTCCCGGCAAACGTCCTCGATCAGAGCTAGCGCAAGGCCTTGCATCAGCTCAAGGACAAATAGTTCTTCTTGGCTGAGACTTATCAAGCTTCCCCCTGTGCCAACCATCTAGAATGTTGGGTAGCAATAGTCCAGCTCAATTGTGTGTGTGTGTGTGTCATCTCAGCTTTTCGCTCAGGCTATCGGGGGACACAAGTACAAGCTACGACGAATGTCCAATATGCCCGGGAAGCTGGGGAGGGCACAGCACTTGTGGGCCATGATGCAAGGATATAAGCTGCACATGACGGATCCTGGCGAAGCTAACAAGTTTTGCAGAGTCCCACATATTTGAACCTGTAGAGGTGCCTGACTCTTGCTCGTCCTGGAAGGACAGGCGCTTCAATGCCAACCACCTCAACGAGTCCCGTGTCAACAAATCAACAAAAGGAAACCCAACTGCCTGACCGTCCAAAACGATTTCGACATCCTGAGCATCCTGGCCTGGGAAGTCAACAAAACCTGTGCTTCTCCATGCCTCGCCGTGCCTTGTGGTAAGCGTAGGTCACAAGCGGGAAAGTCAAAGGATGCCTCATGCATGCACAGCAGCAACTGAATTCTGATCGTCTGGATAGAAAAATAAACAGCCTGCTCACAAAGAAAAAATACTGCAATTGCAGCCTTTTGACTTACTTGTTTCACGACAATACGACCAAACAGGGCTTTCGCCTGACGTTGCGAGACCGCACCGGGAGCCCAGCCTTGGCACACAAAAGCGGAGTGCATGCCAAGGCAACCCAAAAGCTTGCAAAGTTGATTCGTTTTTCCCAAGCCGCGTAAGCAAAGCAAGGGTATCAAGGCGCGGTCCTGTTACGGAGTCGTGCAGCAAGCGCTCCTAGTCAGGTTGGCGTGCTGCACAAACTTTGATGCAGCAGCTTACAGGTCCTCCCGCTGGTGAGATTCGAGCTGGCCAAGTGCAATCCCCAGAAGGCACACCTTGAGAAACGCTCAAAGCGTTGGGAGCTGTGCCATCCCTCTCCATCTTTTCGAGTGGCTCCAGCTGAGAGCAGAGTCAACAAAGGAATCATGGCGAACCTCAGCGTTGGTTGGCTCAAACTCCTTAACGCGAAGATCGAGGCAAGGGCAACGCAGCTCCACCGGCTGCAAGGATGCACAAGGTTGGCCTGACAGATTGGGGCAGCCAGCTGTCAAACTGTCTCTTGCAGTCTTTCCAATAAGCTCTGAGCTTTGCAGGATCCCAGGTCGCTCGAATGAAAACAACATGAAGTACCTCAGGTGGGGTAGGCCTGGGAAAAGCCTGGGCTCTCAAGTAGCATACAAATGCTTTGCGGCCAGCGCTGCAAATCCGAGCCATGCACCACCATGTATGATGCACGAAGTGCTGCGTTGTCAATCCTTGTTCGAATGGCGACAGCACATGTCACGTATCCCAGCTAAGAGACAAAAATAGCTCTGTATCAGGCTTGCACCAGTGATCCCATGCTGACACCTAGGCTGCGCAAGAAAGCATTGCAAGCAAGGCTTCGGTGCAACTGCACAAGCCTTGCACATGAAGAGCATCAGAATGGCTGCCATGCAAAGCCTGAATGGCATAAACAGTCAAACATGGAGAAATATCAAAGCCTCCAAAGCTTGCTGCGACGTGGCTGGGTTTCAAGGCTCCCACATTGCTGAGTCCACGAGAAGTTCTGCTGCAGGTAGAATCTGTCAAGCAATATAAGAAGCATGCAAGGCCTTGTTTGCACCACACCTGACGCGAACGTATGCCCATCCAAATCCCAAGCAAGAGTTGCAGGGCAAAATCCATTGGCCAGCGCCTGAGGAAAGTAGCAGGTCTTCTCTGAAACAGAATCCTCACTTTCTTAGGAATCCTGCCACGGCAGTCGCGTTCCCCAGTCCTGCAGGCCATTGCAGGAGTCTGCAAGCTGCATGGGCCTTTCTTTTTTGACAACTTGGATGACTGCCTGAAATATCCCAATTCATACAATCTATGCTTTCTCACCGAGCGCCGCACAAAGCATGGTGCATATTGCCTGCGAAGCCCGAAGCTGTCAATTTTAGATTGCTGTGCTGCCACAGCTGGGCCCACCCGGATGACAATCTCCCGGTGAGCTGTGCTGGATGAACGCGCAATGTCACAGTGCCTGCAGTCAGAATCTTGAGTCTTACGGCTTCTCCAAAGCTAGAGAAATCTTTTGAAAAGCGGTGCAAGCAGCAAGCTGAATCAAAGTTCCCAGCCGCAAAGGTCTTCGATGCTGCAGAGCCTCAAGTGTGGCTGGACCAAACTTGCAAAGCCTGAGAACTGCCTGAGAACTGCTTGAGACCTGCCTAAGCCAGCAACGCATCAGAGGGAACAGCGCAATCCAGCCAGGGAATGCAAACTACTCCTAAGACACACATTGCAAATCTCAACACCACCCAAGAGCAAGGTGCTCGCTTTCAAACACCATCCTACTGGCAGTGCATAGTTTGATGTCATTGAATGATGCATGCCACACAAAGCGAGGCTGATCAGTCCTGCCAAAGACTTGCCTTGAACGCCATAGCACTGTGTGATCGAAACAGTTGCCGGATGTGAAAGTTTCACAGCGCTGACACCACCACGGAAAAGGAAGGCAGGTGCCTCAGGCAGTGCAAACGCTTCACTGGCTGCTTCTGGGGAAGCATCCAGTTCGCAGCTATCCTCCACGACCTCCCCTCGTAGAAGTGGCTTACCCTGCAAGTCGTCTTCACAGCAATCCGACATTGCTTGATAAGGAGACAATTGTTCGTTCCTACAAGTCAAATCCTCTTCTGCTAACTCGACTTCCATGACGCGAGCAACGGAATGAGAAAAGCACCAAGTTGATGTCGCAAGCCAATTTTCTGCACCTGACTGACCAAATTGCCCTGGCTGGCTCGGCCACGCCCTGCTTGGAATTGCTCGCAGTTCGTCACACAATCGATCTATGAATACTTCGCCTCCGCCAGCATTTTTTGGAAGAGCCGCACGGATAACACACCCGTCTCGAAGAACATCCCTCACAAATAGCAAAGCTGAGGCTGCTTGATTCACCAGAAAGCAAAGCAGAACTGTCGAGAAAAGGAAACCAGCCAATGGAGAGTCGGCTCTGTCCAAATTCAGCAAGATTTGCGTGCTGGATGCAGTCAGTGGAAATGCTAAAAAGCCCAATGCTCTCAATTCCCAAGTGCCTCGACTCAGCCCGTGCGGGCAGCAAAATTCGGAGCTTTGTCGCAGGCTCTTCCGAAGCAAATACACCCTGGCACGGCGCGCAAGCCAAACAGCTGCCAAGAGCAATATTGAACACGCCAAAACTGAATCTGACCTGGGAAGCTTCAGAGGAGCTGACAACGCCTTCAGAGGGACTGGAATAAATTCCGAAATCTCAACCAGCACAATCGCCTGTATTGCCAAAACAGCCGCTGATGCAGATGGGAGCATTGCAAGTAAAGGCACGGCCAAACCAGCTACAGCACAAACAAGCACGAGAATGACAACAAATCCAGCGCACAGCGTTGTCGCAGCCAGTATTGTACCAAAAGATGCGATGTGTATATGCGCCCACTGCAATCGTGATGAATTCTCCCCCGCAAGCGTAGACTCTGGTTGAAACTGATCAGCATGTCCATGCTCCACAATGCAAAGGACCAAATAGCTCCATGGCAAAGGCTGCATCCCGCAATCTGCTACCACTGCGAAGCCGGTTCTTCTCTGTCAGAATGTGTGCTTGTGTGTGTGGGATTACCGACATGCTGCGAAACTGATTTCATGCAGCTGATGGCCCAATATTGGGTGCGAATTCAAGGCAAAGGTGTTGGCTGCTGGTTTTGAACTGAGCTAGGCTGCTAGAGTAAGCTGCAACCCGTGCTATCATGGTGAATCAAACATGAGTAAACACGTGTCTGGTTTGACCTTGTACCGCGAGTCGAATGAGAAACCTTTCCCATCCTCACTCCACTTCATTCCGCGGGATCAAAGGCGCAAACATGATGTATCAGGCCAACGACTTAAGCACCACCATCCCTTGTGTAAGAGTGGAAGTAGATACATATCCCTTGTTCATACCTGTTGGTTTCTACTTTAGCACCCGGCATACCCCTTGTGGCGACACGGGTACAACAGCAAGCCTTTGGGTACATTTACCGAAGGAGTATGTAAAAAGGATGTTCCACACTCATACACATTTACGTGGCAAGTCTACTTGATTGCTAAAACATATAGCAGGACTGAGAGGCAATCACAGCTTGTTCGTTGAATCTATGATCAAGACGCCTCAAGCACGTACTACTCACTCGCACGTGCCTGGGTAATGTACAACTATTGGCACCAGATTTTCCGGTACCAATACCAATGTCTTGCTTCTTGGACTTCGCCGGAGTTCAGAAGGGTACCAACCTATGAATGACCGTACTTCAAGATGACGACACTTTTGGAACGGAAACCAGAACCCATGGCAAATCAATCGTATCACACTTTGGCGGCTCGAGCTTCTGCCGCAAACATCAAAGAGCTCAGGGGTTTTAGTCCCAGCCGACATAATTCTCCAAGACCTGGCCAAATCAAACTATGCAAAATATGTCATGACCATTCTCAAGAAATGTGAAAACTTAGGCCGACGCGTAGACTGTAGCCAAGCACAAAGGATATAAGCTAAGAATGACATACCTTTGTTCAATCGGGGCTGGGATCATGTCGAGCCATGCAGCATTCCCCAAAGTGGCCTGTCAAACCAATGCAAACCCTACTATGTTGTTGGTAGCCTAGTTGAAATCATTCGCAGGGTCATCAATAAGAGCCCAACGCTTCAATCATCCGGTGGACTCTTCGGGAAAGCACGAGAAATGCCATCAAAACCTGCAGGGATGTGAAGCCCTCCGCCAATATGTGCACACACAATGTTGGCGCTGAGTCTGCCTGAATCAGCATGATCGCAGTCGTCTCAGCAGAAAACTCCCATGCCTCAGCAAGCATGATTCGAACGCGGCACCGGAAGCACTTCACAGCTGGACTGGCTTGCCGGTGAATTAGCCCGGAACCAAGCGCTGAAAATACCTGGGCTGGGCAAAGCCAGCCAGGTCGAAACGGAGTTTTCTAAACAACGATGGCCTTTCGGCCTTTCATCTCTGAATTGTACGCCACAGCTGCACCAAGGCAAGGAAGATGGCTAGGCAGAAGGTGTTGTTCATGATGGCCGCGCCCTGGGCAGGCAATATGCGACTGCGGAAGCAAGCATTCAAAGCTCACGCTCTGCCTCGAGGGTGCTTAAGGATGTCGTAATGGACTTGCAGGTGCGCTTCTTTGCGTAATTGTACCTCGTTCATTTAGCGGGAACGTGCAGTGAGGCGTAGCATTGCAGCAAAATGCCGCCTGTTTGCAACCCGCGCACGCAGCCACAAGTTCGCTCGCGTTGGAAGCTAAGGGAGCAAGCACCTGCGTCAGAAAGGCAGAGACACGATTCACAAGCACGACAAACACCCCAGCATACCAAGCTGTGAAACCCCTGCAAGTTGAGGCGCAAAGGAGATGTAAAACGCAGAGACGTCAAGCCGAACACCTGGCTCAGCAAGCAGCCGCAGCTTTTGTCACAATGATCCATGAAAGAAATTATGAATCTCCAACACACTGCCAATTATAGTAAAATGCAATGCTAAGACCACGACCCAATTCGGAGAGCAGGTCCACCATTGGATCCGAAAAAATCAGAACCTGTTACCAACAAATTCTCATAATGGTGCAAGCAGTCGTGAGGCACCGACCAAAAGTGTGCCTAGCGCCATCATATACGCAGCCCGAATCCTCAGTGAGAGACCCACCACGCCGGCCTAATAGAAAAGAAGACTGGCCAAACGCAAAAACGGCAAGCACAAGCTGCAATTGCCGATGTTGGCCCCTGTCGCAGCCATCGGGCCCCAACTTAATTCTTTTTTGCTGCTCCTCAGGCTCCAAGTCAGCCAAGTCCTGGCACATGCAAGAAAGACACGCCGCGTGGCAAGGCAAGCTTGAATCAAGAGCACGCCTCCGGCACATCTTCTTCCCCATCTTCTTCATCTGCCTGCTAACCACAAGTTTACAATATGGCTCGGCTTTGCTGTAGGTTCAAAACGCTGATCCAAGCAGGCCTCTCCGTTGCCACCATCTTCAAAATACTTGTTTGGATTGACCGCATACTTTGGCTTCTTTGTCTCCTGCGTGCCGCTGCAGGCACACCCTTCAGGCGCAGTTCATGTTTGACTCGCCCATGGGCCAATGGGTCAGTTGAAGTGGCTGCAAGCCCGCGCCAGTGGAAGACTTCACCGCTCCAGCTCCGCAGTCCTGGAGGTCGGTGTTGGGGTCCAAAGCGAAGGACATCAGGCAAGCAACGAACTCCTCACAACGCCGCGATGATTTCAGTGGCTCGGCAGCAAAGCTACATAAAATGAGGGTCGCTCACTATTGATACTGAAACGGCCCTTCTTTCGAAGATGACCCCCCGGTGAAAACAAAGTAGGCAACAGGGTGGAACAGGCGACCCCTAGCTCGACCCAACCTCCTAACAGAGTTTTCTGATAATAAATATCTCATCATCAACGCTATGAGTCAAGGGGCAAAGTCCATCACTCTTCCCGCATCGAAGTGGGAGGGCCCCCCAACTGGGTTCAGTCAAATGTATGTCTCGTGGAGGGTGGCCTTGAGGAAACATATGGCCCAAAGGCCACTCTTCTTATCCAACCCGCACTTGTTGCATGCTGCAAGGCTACGAATCATCACTAATTTAAATCGAGGCTTGGTAAACTGACCAGCAACCCACTGTCTTCCGCGCATCCTCAAAGCTGATATCGCCGCTTTTGTTCTGAGCAGGTGAAGCATGTGCACAGCTGGAATGCTACATTGGCACGCTAATTGCAGACAGCCCGCGGTATCCGCAGCATCGAACATCGCATATTGAGCTTCTCTTGAAAGGTTCTCGCCTGTTTCAAGTGTAAAGCAACACAGCGCTACAAGCACCAACAAGCGGCAACGAACTGAACCAGCTGTGCAGCCAGGGTGCCAACATCCTGCATCAAGCAAAAAGCGCATGTGCTGAGTCCTCCGAGTGCTTTGCTTGCACAGCCTTGAAGATCATTCTGAACTCTTCAAAATCGATGGTGTTGTCGCCTCGACTGCATGTTGGAATCCACATGTGCGCGCTTTGGAGGGGCCCTCAGGTCTCGTCCATTGGCGTCGTACATCGCAAAAAACGGAGCAAGGACCTAGTCCGACACAGCAGCCACGGCAGTTGCTACAAAACATCTGGCACTAAGCCGCAGGCTTTGCACATGCGGCGAACTTCATCCATGGATTCCTTGTTGACAAGTACCTGCTTTCCACCGCGGGTGCACAAGTTGGGCCAGCAGCATGCCAAGCCTCCGTGAGAGGCTTCTTACACACGTTGCTCCTTGTTTCCAGCAAGCAGAAAGCAGAAGGAGCACGTGCATGCATGATATTTGCATCTGGAAAGCCAATGCTTGTCGCGGAAAGCAGCCATGGCACCACGAAGGGTAAGAGTTCCTGAAAGGGGATAAATATCAAGCCTTGCAGGAAGAAGCAAAGGTGACTCCAACACTCCCAAAATAAGCTGGGTTGACCATCTCGTATTCCCTGGCAGTGCACATTGACAATTGACAGGACTAAGCAAAAGGTGACAAGATGTGACAAGATGTGACACGATGCGACAAGTCAAACTGAATGGCCTGAACGGTGCTTTCGGCGATGATGTCGCTTACCGCTCCGCCTTGAGACTCGCTCCTGATCAGAAGCGCTACTGACTTTCGAGAATTGATCAAACAAGTCAGGCGCACCACATTTTCCACAAATACCACCTCAGCTGGACAGAAGCACATTCAAGTCAACAATGAATTGGCCTCCCAAACGTACAAGCTCAATACAAGCAAGTTGCCCGAAGAAGGCGCAGCAAACTATGAGACCAAGAAGTGCCCAAATGTTCTCGAAGGAGGCCTTGGGCAATTGCTAAACGGCTTGCAATGTGTCGATGGGCGCGCAATCCAATGACCTGACGGAGTCTAACCCATCAACGCTGCAGCCCACCTCCTCCTTTTGTAGCCCGATAAGCTGCTTTCTGCTAATGTCCTGCAGCAGTCAGTACGATCAAAACTTACAATGATAGGCAACAACTGCCACAATTGAAAGCTGAAACATCACCAAAAGTGGCAGTCCGGAGACTTCGGCATTGAGTCCACAGCAAAGGCAGAGCCCTGAATGATGACGTACCTGTTCATAAACCGCAGGGCGCTGCATAAACATCTGGCATGCATTGGGGCACCCCAGCAAGGTATAGAGCATGGTCCATGCCTAGTCCACTCCCGTGAAGACCCAGCAACCCAAATGTTGAATGTCATGTCATGTTTAAAAATGAAGTCTTATCACCGATTCCTATGCAAGCCCCTACTGAGGTCAGTGCGCTTTGCAAAATTTCTGGTCCATATCCAACACCAGTGTCTGAGCAAAGTACGGTCAAGAGCCACAACATGTACAAGGCATTGGGCTGTGACGCAGCAGGGACATGTTCCCAGGAGGGTTGAGCTTGTCCCACGTCTGCCAGAAATGGTGATGTCGCGTCATTTGCTGCAATGCTCAATGCGCGTTAATTATTTCCCTAACATAGGAAATGTGTGAGTACGTCATTCGTAACTTTGACGTTTAACCAAGCGAACATCTGAACCGTTCACAGTGCACGCAGCAGGCCAAATACCATGCCAGGTCAACCGCAGGGTCTGCATTGGCAGGACGCTGGTAGGTTGGCTTTCCATCTTTGAGGGACACCTCATTCATGACAGTGCTGCACTGACATAGGAAAGCTGCGCAATGACTGTTCACATGATCACATGCTCACATTCCAGGAACTAAGAACTGACAATGGCAAGTCATTCGCTCGGGTCAGCATCTAGACCAACCTTTCAACCGACATGCGGTGAGGGTGTCTTGCCTTGTGCCCTGTTCATCTTGAGGCTGCGACCCTGCCGGCCATGACTGCTAGAAACCTGAATGGCTTGAGCAGAGTCACCAACAGTTGCCTTCTGATTCGCTCGTCGTCGCCAAAACAATATCGCCATGAGCGTTTGCATTGACTCTTTCGGTTCATAGCACAGCCATATCTGCAGGGGCCCCACCATGGCAGCGTGAGCAGCATCACTGTGCTGCCCGCAAGAGCACCAACACCTACGCTGACCTTGAGCAGTGCGAGCTTGAGGTATTGAATTGCAACATGCGTATGAGAGCCTGACCTGGTTCTGGGCATCTGGACCAAGGCCTGAAAAGAGCACCATCCTTAGAGTATCCCATGAGCAACAATGTACCAAGCACAAAACCGAAACGTGCACGGCAATTTGTATAAGTGAGGCAGGCGCATACCGTCAGGAACAGCTCCCAGGATCGGAAGCACGACACTGGCAAAGTGAGCTTGTGACAATACTCCCAGCACTCGCGGGTCATGTGCCCTGCCACACCCTGTCACACCGTGTCACACCGTGTCACACCGTGTCACACCGTGTCACACCGTGTCACACCCACCCCCGAGTGAAAAAGACATGGCAGAGATTGGCCAAGCCTCCCAACTACTGGAGCAGCCGCTGGCACCAGCCTGGCGAATCCATTTGACGATATTTGACGTTGTGCCTCTTGTTTTTCGTATTTCCAAACATGCCAGCTTCTCAGAAGAAGTTCACTGCCGTCGCTGATGAGGTTGGACGCCTCATGCAAGTCATTTGTCTTTTCTTGTCAAAGCACTTCGCGGCTGTGCATTCCGAACCTGAAACAGAACGTAGCCATACCTGAGGCAGGCACCACGTGGAAAATGACGCAAGTAGCTTGCTACCACTTCGCCAAGTCGCATTCCAGTCAGGAAGATGATCTGGGCCTTTCATACAATCTTGTCCAAACGCAGCAGGACTTGAAAGAAATTCTTAAAAGCTTGGGCACCCACCATATTGCAGTTTTCTGGCGATGGGAAGGGGTCTGAGCGCAGATTGCATCAGCAGGTGCGCAGGAGTGCGTGTTCAAGCCATGAGATCCAAAGACAAGCCACTGAATGGATCTGCAGCGGCTTTCTCGGCCGCAGCCGTCGCAAATGACGGTTCGACCATCTGCGAAGAGTCAATGCGGCTGCCAATCCAACTTGGACGACTGCTCAACGAGGCCTCCACACCAGCTCCAGGCATGTGACATTAACGTAACACTTGTGCAACTTGAGCCAAATCCAAGGAGATTACTACTTCCCATCACACATGCAAAATGCCTCCCTCTTAGCAACCGCATCGTCCAAAAGGCGACTGTGTGAATTCTGAAGGCTTCCTGTACTCTCTGGCAACGTAGGTGGACAAGCCAGAAATCTTCTTTGTCATCCGGCTGGCATGACATTGCTCGAGGCACCTGGCTCAGGCCCATGGCTGCCCCGGGGCGAGTTGGCCTCCCAACAGCCTGGCGCAATTGCACGGCGTGCATGGCCCAAGTGCGATCATGGCCTTCTGAACGAGATCGGCTCTCCTGAACAGGCCGCATGTCAGGGTAAGCTGGCATGCACACTGACTTGAGAACGGGGTGAAAGAAAGGTCGCAAGTGAGGAATGGCACGCACGACATGCGGCGGCACAAGGGGAAGGTGGATGATGAACATTTACAGCAACCGCCACTAAACTTACCTTCCGAATTGTTCATGTTTAAGCTAAATGCCTTGAGGGACAGCTTGTTCACCTTGAGTCTAACTTCTCTAACTTCTCAAAGGGACAGGTCTACTGCCTTGTTGCGCGCTTTAGCCGATCTCTGTAATTTCCCCACCTGTCCGGCTCTCGAGCACTTGTGCTCTTTAGATCTCTTTAGTCTTTCTACGCCACCTGCTCCCCTGTCCGATTTTCGAGCACAAGTTTGTGCTCTAGCCCTTGTATGTCACTTTACTTGTACAGTTTTCGCAGTAGTTGCGCTCTTTAGTTTTTCTATGCCATGAGTTCCCCGGCTGTCCGGTTTTCGCTCTTTAGCCTTTCTATGCCATGGGTTCCCCATTACAGACTGTTCCAGATATGGAAGGGCCAGCTTCACCTGGAGCCAACCAAAAGCCAATCGGGCATCTCGGCAGGAAGCGCATCACGTCAGTAGACCGCACCACATGGGCGAGCCAAAATGCTAAGGCAAAGAAAATCCAGCACCCCATCTCACCTCGGAATTCATTTTGAACAACCATCTCGCCTCGGGAACACTGAACAAAGCCGGTCAAAACGCGGACCAGGGGGGAATCGAACCCGGGAGGTGGCGGGGGTTCCGTTTTCAATTTGTTTTATTAATCTGTTCATGGCCCCCCCCAAAAAAAAAAATAATATTATACATCACAGGGATCGGGAAGTTGCTGCCCCTACACTTGCTAAAGCAAGAAAGAACCCCAGGTTAGCTATGAATACGCTCACGGGTGTCTCGCATGATGACTCAAGTGACTCAAGTCCTCACACAAGCGAGCTGCTTGTGGCAGGCGCAGGTCGAGAAGCTCCTAACATCAACACACCTCCTCAATTGTCATGTCACAGGACAAACCATTGGTACATAGGCAAATTGTCCATGCTGCGTCCATGCTACATCTGCGTCCTCATCACGAAGATGCTGCAAGCCATGCCTATTCAGGGAGATTCAGAAGCGGAAAAAGAATTGTTCAAAGGAAAGCAGCGCAGATTGCTGGCGAGTTGCAATCCTCCTGGCAAGCTGAGTTGCGCGGTCCCCTCCACGGTTGCCTCATTCGCAGCTGGCTCGTCCGTGTCCAGGAGCATCGCTGGATCTGCCGGGCAAAGTCATCTCTCTCACAGGCATACTGATTTTCAGCCGACACCACTAATCAGGCCCCAATGAGCCTGTGCAGGCTGGCTCCTTGTGGGGCAGGAAATACAATCCGAAAATGTGTCAACGTTGAGTGAGAGTGTAGCACAATCTCAGGCTTGGCTGCGCGGCTCCTCTGGGATAAACCTTGCCAAAGGCAAGGGCATAGTAGCGCAAGCACCACACACCTGAAAGGTGTATACCAGATTTCCGAAAGTCAACCTTCTCCAAGACAGGTAAGCGTTGGACCATGATCAAAAGGGATAGGTGGTGAAAGTTGTGAGCTGTGACCTCAAGCATGAATGGCAAGTGACCACAGGCTTCCCATTCTGGTGATAAGCCACGAACGCCCAACATATGGGCCATGCCAGCAGAAGTCACCTGACCATGCGCATTCAATGCAAAGCAAGCAACTCCATGCGATCGCACCATTCCATTTCCAAAGGAACGAAGATTCAGCAACAAACTCTGGCCTTGTTGATGGCTCGAGATGTTTGCAGCATCGAGTACTGAGTCAAGTGACGGCTGCTTTTCCGCTGACTCAAGGGCCCTTGCATTGTCTGAGCCACCAGCAAGGAGCGAAACACTCGTGCTTTCAAGGCCTCGAGGCCCCATGTCCACCTTCGACAAACATTGAGGTAGACATTGGCAAGCATAAAAAGAAGTGGGACTTCTCAACATTGAGGCCAGAGCAAAGCGAGAGAAGACAGGAAGAACCTGGCGGCAGAGGACGGTATGGGCTGTGTTTTCAGCTTGTCATTGCAGGCCGTGCGCCTGCATGTGCAGCACAACCTTCCAAGTAGTATGGGGCCAATAGGAAAGGTGACAAACAATAGCAGGCCGTGAAGCCAATGTGCAGTTCGGACGGTTGGAAAATCTGCTCGCATGTGAGGCGCTCCTCCCGAACCAGCTCACCGGACACAGCCAGAGTCTGAGGACTCACTGGAATACCTGAGTCTGACACTGCTCAGTTGCGTGCGTCTCTATTTGCGCTACAAACCTCCTTAGTGCCTTGCTGTGATAGGCTCCCGTGGTGAGCAGCAGCGGAGTCAAGTACAAGGGCAAGGAAGCCTTCACCAAGACTGGAGCTGGAGGCATGCTGAAAGAATTCTGGCATATGAATTGTCAAACGACACGGCACAGCTAGGGAGCAAGCTGCGGTAAGCCCAACGACCTCATGCCATGAAGACTTAAGGTCTCAGTTTTGCAGAGACTTCTTGAGGCTCTCTGAGAGTCTTGCCAGCTGCCGATCCGGCACGCGGCGCCTGGGACAAGGCTAGGTTCTGCTTTCTCAGTCTAGCAGGACGGCTTTTAGCTCATGGCAGGGCATAGCGGTACAAGCCGATGCCAATGAGTTTTGCCAGCTCCTTCAGTGACAATCAACGTCATCAGCCCATCAGCACAACTGACAATTTCATGTCAATTTGCTGGTGCGGCTGGTGAACGAGTTTGGGTTCATCCTTGTCAAGGGCATTCATGCCCCAAATTGCACAACATTATTGCTGATTCCATGAAGGCAAGTGCTCCTGGGCCATCTTGAGACGTCCCAAAGCAGACGGACGAAATCTGAGCCTTCAGCGTCAACCCCATAAATCCAATTTGCAATGCATTCCGCGAGCCTATTTATGTAGAAGAAATACAAGCTGTCATCATAGCCTGGTCCTGCGCACCACTCAAAAAAAAAAAAGAGCTGCAAGATTTGATCCTGCCATCCATCCTGCACTGTAAGCAGCCAGAAATAGAAGCGGGCCCCACAGCGCAGGATGAGCAAAGCATTGGAGAAGTTCCGACCTTGCACTCGCAACGAGCGTCTACAGGGAAACATTGAGAAGCTCGTGACTGGATCCTCTGGCTTGTTGCGTTTCCATTGGGGAGCTGGCCACCGTGCTGTCTCTGCTGGCTCCAAGGATGGTGGAATTCTCACCGGGCTCTGTGAGGCCCATGCCCTGGTCCAATCAGCGCAGTCTCCACATGTCTTTCCCTTCCACTGCAGTGTCTCTCCAGTCTGTCCTGGCTTGTTCTTCAGATAGAACGAAGGCCAACTCCTAGGAACAGTAGCTGTGGATGCAGTGGATGCAGCACCAGCTGAGGTCAAGGCCCCACCTGCCCGCTCACATCGGCCTGGCAAAGAGGCTCCGCATGCCGCGAGTCGCCCAGAGCTGCCGCTGTCCGCAAACATGCATAAAGAATCATAACGATCCTCTCCTGCAACTTGCCAAGCACTCTTGCATAGTACCCATCAGAGTTCTAAAACTGAAAATGTGATACAGTATGCGAAAGGACGGATCAGAAAGTAAGGCCAGCATCCACTGTTGTCAGGGCAATCAAAACTCCGACAGGCGACAGTGGCAGAGTCTAATGAAATCAAATTTATAGCTGGCATGGTTCTTGTTTTGCCTAGCATTAGCACGGGCCTAACCCTGGCACAGCTCGGTGCCGCACAAAAGGTGCTTTTCTCACAGCCCAAGATGAGGAACATCGATAGGGGCTTGGGTTGGTTCTGTCGGATTGTGTGATTCTTGCGGGCTTGGGCTTGGGGCTAGTTTTGCTGTCAGTGGGTTTGCTCGGGATCACTGTTAGGCTGGCTTTTCTCGGCTGGTTTGGTGTCCAACGAAAGCGATCCTGACGCAAACCCGCTAACAGCAAAACTAGCCCCGACCCCAGCGAAAAATATTTCAACTGACCCTAAGCCAAAAACGAATCACACTAAGTCCCACTCTGATTCCGCCAAATGTCATCCCCGACCCTGCATAAACCCACCCTAGACCAAGTTATGCTGCGCAACAAAAGCAAAGCAGCACCACCAACAAAAGCGCAATGATCCATTGCCCATCACATTAATCATCAAATACAATAAAACTCCATCCACACTTCTTTCCAACACTTCCCGTGACTCTCGGGGGAGCCTATTCCTGCCAGCATTAGAAGTGGTGCACAGGCACACAGGCGAAGCCTGGCAGTGCTTGCTTTGTTCTCGACTCGAAGCCAGAACATGCATTAACCTGCCACCCACTCTTTCACAAATGATGCAAAGGGAGACGCAGACCGTGAGTTCAGCTTTGCGATCAGAACACTGCTTCCAAACCTAGCAACTCTCACTGACGAGGTTTCAAGGATGGATGAGGTGTGGCACGACAGCTGCGGTTTCAGCTAGATGGCATGTGCAAAACGCAAGCCTTTCCACCGCAAAGGACAAGCTTTCAGCGAAGTGCGCCAAGGCCCGCACGCACTGAAAAGAGCAGCACAAGTCTTCAGGCCAAAAAAGTCTCCCACCACGGCAGACACCTCGTCTTGGCCTGAGGATGCAGATTGTGTAGACACCTCGTCATGTAGACGCTTCTAAGATATGCTGCGAACGATGTGCGCGGTGCACGACATTTTGCTGAATTTCGCCGGGCTAATCGCAGCTCATTGGTGCCGAGCCAGCCATTTCTTCTGAAAACTCAACACCTTACATAGGTGCATCAACGAACAAAGAGCTTGGTCAGCTCACTTGGGGTAGACAGCCTGAGTCATAATCTCGTAGCCGTTCCTTAGCAAACTGCACAGTAGCCGAAAGAGCATGTTCACAGTTCAGAAACTTGCTTATTCATGTTTATTGCGCAGTTTATGTTATGCGCATGCAAGGCTCCAGTTGATGGATGTGATCGCCATGGCACGCTTTGTAACCGTGATGTCATAGAAGCCATACTGAGCCTCTCCATACCAGTCCTGATTCACAGCTGTCACTCAAACCCCACACAGTGCATTGAAGGCTACAAGTACATTTATATAAATAGCCTTTTGCATGTTATATCATATTGTACTATGTTCACTATGTATATATATATATATGGTACAGCGTTGCCAGCCCCCCCCCCCCCCCCAATGGTCATGGGTCAGACAAGTACCCCCCCACCCCCTGTGGTTGTGGTCCTGTGGTTGGGTTGTGGTGGTTGGTTTAGGGTTGGTTTGGAATTGGTTTAGGGTGTATTTAGGGTTAGTTTAGGGTTGGTTTAGGGTTGGTTTATGTTGATTTAGGGTTCGTTTAGGGTGGTTTAGGTTTAGAGGTTTACGGTTTGGGGTTCGGTTTAGGGTTTGGTTTAGGGTGTATTTAGGGTTGGTTTAGGGTTGGTTTAGGTTTAGGGTTTATTGTTTAGGGATTGGTTTAGGGTGTATTTAGGGTGTGTTTAGGGTTAGTTTAGGGTTGGTTTAGGTTTAGAGGTTTACGGTTTAAGGTTTGGTTTAGGGTTTGGTTTAGGGTGTGTTTAGGGTTGGTTTACGGTTAGTTTAGGGTTGGTTCATGGTTGGTTGCGGGTTGGCTTTTCCTGGTGCCGGGGTGTCGGGGTGCCGAGTTTAGGGGGTCGGGGTGAGGGTGGGACTGTAGGTGCCAGGATCCGGGGGCTCGGGTCTTGGGTTGGGGGGGGGTCCGGGGGGACCCATACCATCTGGGTACCATGCGGGGAGCAACACGGAACACGGGACCATATATAGATAGGAAACATATATATCTATGTGGGGTACTCCCCCTGGAATAGTCAACTGTTTGCTGTAAAGTGAATGTTAAACCCGCTTCTAAAAATGATGCTCTAAAAAGGCACTCCTTTTTGCGACATCAGTACTTGCTGCAATCCAGGATGTGCTAGCACGTGCTAGACAACCTGGGTTGAAGATGGAAGATTGAAGATTCTATGAAAACTCTTTCTGGGATTCTTCAATCTTGACGCTTAAATCCAGGATGTGCTAGCACGTGCTAGTACATAGTAGTTTGTCCTAAGTGTGGATTTGAAATCTATCCAGAAAGTGGTCAGAGAATCTTCAATCTTCAATCAGGATGCTCTAGCGCATGCTAGCACCTCCTGCATTGCCCTAAGTACAGATTTGAAGAATCGCAGAAAGAGTTGACAGAGAATATTGAATCTCGAATCTTCAACCCAGGATGCGCACGTGCTAGCACATCTGGATTGCACTAAGTATGGAATTGAAGAATCTAAAGCGGCAAACTGAACAAATGCAGAAAAACACCTCGTTTTACGGCATTTTCTGCCAAGCGCAAGATCCATGTTTGAAAATATATTTCTGTTGTTGGCTTGGCTCAGTTCTTGCTTGGTTAGTACCACATGGAGTCTCCAATTGTTTTTCTTTATGCAACCGGTTAAAGCTAAATTTGGTTTGAACTCGCAAGCATTTTAGATTGGATATCCTTCCTGTATGTTAGTGACAGTTGCTGTGCAAATTTCGGTTAGTTAATCTTAGTTAGAATGTATATTCGGAGTTGTGCGCATACTGCTCAAGGACATGAAGCACTTTCAATTTTGGTTTGGATGTCAACTGCAAGTAGGACTGAGTTCCTTTCCCGCAAGTTGATGATTTGATGAATTTCCCTCCCAAACAAAAGTAATACAACCAATAGTAGAGCTGTTTACAGGCACGTTAAAATTGCCAAAAACACGGACTACTCTTGTACTGAAAAGTTTTGCTTTTTGAGCTGGAGCTTCCAACGTGCACTTCGCTTACTCCAAAGATACTTTAAGTGCACTTGGCGCACGCCAATGTGACTTTCTGTTTAAATACGAACTCTTTTTCAACGTTGGGCTTAACTTCTGCTTGGTTGGAATTTGCATGGAGTTGCTTCAGAGTCTTCAAGGCAATTGTCACCTCCAGTCTGGCCAAAAACCTGAGTTCTTGGCAAAATCTGAATTTCAAAGCGGGTAGCATATATATATATTTATTTATTTATATATATACACATATATGAATTTATACATATATATATATATGCTCACCCCCCCCCCCAGGGCCTACCTTTTCACTTGCACAGTCTAGAAAAACTGATAATTTCAACAGTAGGGGGTGAGCATATATATATATATATGTACATTTTTCTTTGATGTTAGACACAGTTTCCTTTATATATTACTCTGCTGCTAGAAGCTCAAACCAGGTCATTCAAAGTATCTCTTTTTTTCTTGTAGCAATGATGTCAGAAGCCAGTGAAATCTCTCTGGAAACGGCCCTGAATGCCACCAACGCGCTCTTCCTCAAGAACTTGTCCAAGCCCAATGTCGTGGACTTGCCTCGCGGTCCTGTCTCGCCTACTGACCTTCCTCTTGATCATCCCAAGGACAAGAGCAAGGCAAAGCACTTCTTCGACTTTGTTGGCCCTATAGCCTTCGATGCTACTTTGCAATCTCAAGTCAGCAGCGCGGCTAAGGATGGCCGCTTTGCGGACATGCCAGCGCCCTTTCGCTTGAAGACTTCTCCTGGTATGTCATATGGTCTTCAACTTGTTGTTCTTCCTCTTCCTAATGCGCAGCACTTCCTCCTGAAGCACATCATCTTCCCGGATCAAGTTAAGGCTGAGTTCGTCTCCACCCTTTGTCATGGAGAAGTTCATACCGTTTCCTGGCAAGCCAATGCCAAGAATACCAAGAAGGCCATCCAGTACATGCTGGAGAAGATGGGTGGCTTCCAGGTCCAGTCCTTTGCTCTTCAGGCAAGTGGCAACGGTGGCATGCAGTCCGACAACAAAAACAACAACTTCTTCCAGGGCTTCACAGAAGAGAACATCGACCAAGGCTTCGACTTCATCGAGGCACATGGGCCTAGAACCCACCACAGCAACACGCAGCTGAGATGGATCTCGAAGCAGTTCATCTCAGACGAGAGTCCCATTCAGACTTGGCCGGAGCGGCTCATCAAAGAAGCTCTGCGGAACCTCATGAACGACGGCGTCTTGGCGCTCCCTGTCTATGACTTCCCCCTCACGCTCGTGGATGTGGAGCCCTCGGTTTTGACTGTGTTGGAGGAAATCTTTCCTTGCTTCACGGACAAAGCCTGCGGCATGCATGGAGTCCCCAACGTAGGCAAGACGCCTCTTGGGCGCACCATTGCGATGGCCATGTCACGCTACTGGGTTCAAAAACTGAACTCAAAGAACGAGCCCGGCTTCCGCGAGGCCTGCGAGTTCGACTTCTTCAGAGGTGAAGCTGGTCGCCAAGATCGTCCGGATATCTTTGACGATGGCTCACTGGCTGAACAGCCCATGAGGAAGTTGAAGGGCTTCTGCGACGTGGGCAACACGGTCCTCACAAAAGAAAGGTGGGGCGCCGCAAAGTTCCCGCAGGGCCAGCTGCGTCTTTACATGTCCAACGACATCGATCTCGCCGCAGAGCCCTCCTTCGAGAACGCAGGGTATTCCATTTCTCACCAGCAGTTCATGCAGATGGTTGAGCCGGCGTGGATGAAGGGTTCGTCAATCTCTGACGTCATGGCGGTCATGAAGCGCACGTGTGTCTTGCTCATCACGAACGACTTCCTCTACTGGCGTCTTCCTAGTGAGAAAGAGGTGAGGGTCGAACGCAAGCGCCTCGATGAAAGTAAGTCTTTGTTGCGCAGCTCAGGAGGCTTGAAGTACATGCAGTACCGCAAGGGTGATCGCAGCGCGCCGGCCGACTTGGACCTTCATCTTCGCTGGGAACGAGCCTGGATGACGTCGATCATGGAGAACAAGGGTCGTGACCTGCCGCCAAGGCCAGTGGAAATCGATTACTCGGCATCGCGGAGGCTGTTTGGATCCAGCGGACCAAATACCATCCTCCAGGTGCGAGTTCCTGATCAGCAGCCACAGCCCCTTGCTGCAGAGCCTGCTCCATCCTCTACTTCAGCACTTTCCGCTCCTCCAGCGCCTGCACTCATCAAAAAGGAGCCGAACGTCTTCGCCCGTAAGTTGTCGGCCATGCACCTCACCGTCATCGACTTGGAGAGTCCGCCCAAGAAGAAACTCAAGGCTTCGGCTTCGGCTTTCCCCGCTGAGACCGAGATCGAGGAGATGGACGTGGCGTCTGAGGAAGATGTCTTTGACCACGGTGGTGACCTTCAGCGTAACAGTGGTGATGAGGCTGAGTAGACGCGGTGCCAGATAGGAAAGCAGTTTTGCAAGCGCGCAAGTTCGAAAAGGCCGATGCATTTGTCACTTGTCTGCTTTTGCCTCCAGGTATTGCATCACTGCGCACGCTCATTCTGACAGCATCTTGGCCCTGAGTCAGTGTAGCCACTCTTTGTTTTTGTAGCGTCATGCCTAAAAAAGTCATGAAGCGTGCGGTCAAGCGTCAAGCGCCTTGGCCTGAGCCAAAGAGGGGCAAAGCGCGCGCCAACAAGCGCCCAGCAAGTACGAAGGCTCACGCGGTCAAGACTCCGTACGTACGCCACGGCACCCTGACCATGAAGTCCAGGCCTCACAGGGAAAGGTGGGGAAGATCGGTCATGAACTTCTTGTCCTTGAAGGGCATCAGGCTGATCCACCTCTTGAAGAAAGACCGCATCCTTCCTGAGTGGAAGGGGAAGCTCTGCCCCAAATGCGGGAAAGGTGTCTTGGGGAAGCTCGAGTACAGAAAGGACCGAAGCCAGTGGGTGCACCGCTGTGGGGCAAAGAAGTGCCAGGCTCGCATTCGCATCGAAGACTTCCACCCCATCTTCTACGCTGGCGCCGGGAACTCAACTACTTCTTTGCCCACACAAGCCGCCATCTTGTTCTGGTGGTGTACCTCGGAACGCTACCCACCTGGTCTTGGATGTCGACCACAAGGCAGTGGAGAGGCTCTACGCCAACAACGATATCGCCAGGGCCCGCTACGTCCAGAAGAAAGAGAAGTCCATCACCTATGGTGGCACCCAGAAATGGAAGGATGTGGAGGCTGACGAGGTGGACTGGGGTAAGGGTGAAGATCCTGATGCAGTTCGGGCTGATCGGGTGGTGAAATGGGAGCAGTGGGGAGGGCTTGTGGAGAGGGGACGCCCGAGCTCTTTGCGGCTGTTTAAGCTCAAGCCGCGCCTCACGAAGAAGCGAGCGCCTGGACCAGGGCCGATCAGGAAGCGGGAGTGGCTGCCGATCGGGCGGAAATTCCTGTCGAACAAGCATGTGGTGCTCCACACGGATGGTGCCAAGGCGTACAAGGTGAAGCTGCCGAATGTGGCCCATTGCAATGTCGTGCACCAGAAGAAAAAAGTCATCGTGCAAGGCAAGGTCAAGTGGGTCAAACCCCACTATACGAAGATCTATGACGTGAAGACCCCGGACGGTGACAAGATCCGCGTCAAATCGGGCACGCAAATCGTGGATCGGTTTTGGGGCTTCTTGCGCAACCACTTGAAGAATGTCAACCGCACCCCCGGGAGCGCCGTCCTGAGCCGGCGAATTCGATCGGCCCAATGGGCTTACTGGCACAAGGGTGTCAACCTGTGGGAGGCCACAGGCAATATGCTGCAGACTTTGCAGCAGTAGGCCCGAGACGCTTATAGAAACTTCTGGAAAGTTTTGCAGCACGATGCTTCTGTGAAAAAGCTCAGCAATCCAATCTGTCTTCCATTCTTCACAAACAAGTAAAGGATTTGTTTTTTTGGGTGATTTTTTGGAGCCTGTGCAGGTTTTAAGCGCCCAAGGCTCCAAAACCTGCACAGGCTCAAAAAATGCAAAAAATCCAAACCTGGAAGCCCCAAAACCTGCACAGGCTCAAAAAAATGCGAAAAATGAAAAAAGCCAGACCAATCAAGCCCTGACCTCTGACATTGCATCTGGGTTTTGCATTTGTTGCATGTCTTGAGCCTGTGCAGGTTTTGGAGCTTTCAGGCTTGGATTTTTTGCATTTTTTTGAGCCTGTGCAGGTTTTAAGCACCCAAGGCTCCAAAACCTGCACAGGCTCCAAAAAAATGCAAAAAATCCAAACCTGGACGCCTCAAAACCTGCACAGGCTCCAAAAAATGCAAAAAATGCAAAAGTCCAGACCACTCAAGCCCTGACCTCTGACATTGCATCTGGGTTTTGCATTTTTTGCATTTTTTTGAGCCTGTGCAGGTTTTGGAGCTTCCAGGTTTGGATTTTTTGCATTTTTTTGAGCCTGTGCAGGTTTTAAACATCCAAGGCTGCATAGGCTCAAAAAATGCAAAAAATGCAAAAGTCCAGACCAATCAAGCCCTGACCTCTGACATTGCATCTGGGATTTGCATTTTTTGCTTTTTTTTGAGCCTGTGCAGGTTTTAAACATCCAAGGCTCCAAAACCTGCACAGGCTCAAACAAAATGCAACAAATGCAAAAGTCCAGGCCAATCAAGCCCTGACCTCTGACATTGTATCTGGGTTTTGCATTTTTTGCATTTTTTTGAGTCTGTGCAGGTTTTGGAGCTTCCAGGTTTGGATTTTTTGCAATTTTTTGAGCCTGTGCAGGTTTTGAGGCTGAAACCATGAAAAAACGTAAGAAACAGGTGCTTTTTTGCAGTTTCCTTCAAAATCACTGCAAATAACACTGCTTTTAACACTGACAAAGTTGCATCTGAAAACGCTTTCCGTTTTCGTGTTTGTTGCTTTCTCGAATCCTGTTTTGCATCAAGTATAGAAAGCACATCTGAGACAATATCAAACAATGCACAAAAACACCGTAAATTACAGTGCTTTCTGCAAGGCATCTGCAAACCAAGTGGACACTGAACATCTGCAAATAAATCTCTTTCATGCAAAAAGTAGAAAGGTAGGCCCTGGGGGGGGGTGACCATATATATATTTGTCTATTCATTTATTCCCCAATTAGCTGAAAGCTGTCGGGGTTCTAACTTGAAGTAAAGGAGGGGTGGGTGAGACTCAGAACTCCGGCCAGGTTGTCGCAAGAGTGCTGAAGGGTGCGGCTGCAGGCCGAGACTCAAAGTTAGGTTGCTGCAGGGCGCTGCTGGCCGAGACTCAGAGTTGCGCAGGGTGCTGTTGCAAGGGCAGGCTGAGGCTCAAAAACGCGCAGGGTGCTGCAGGGCGCCGCTGCAGGCCGAGACTCAGTTGCGCGGGGTGCTGCTGCAGGCTGCTGCTGCAATGCCGAGGCGCAAACACGCACACGGTGCCGTTGCAAGGTGCTGCTGCAACATCTGGGGTGGTGTTGTAGGATGCTGGCGCAAGGCGCTAGGCTGCAAGCCGAGACTCAGAGCTGCGCAGGGTGTTGTTGCAGGTGCTGCTGCAAGCTGAGACTCAGAGCTGCGCATGGTGCTGCCGCAAGGTGCTGCTGCACGGTGCTGCTGCAGGCCGAGACGCAGAGTTGCGCAGGGTGCTGCAGGCAGCGTGCTGTTGCAGGCATTTGCTGCAAACCCGGGTCATCTCTGCAAATCAAATATTCATTTGCTGCAAACCCGAGCCATGCCTGCAAATGACATATTCATTTGCTGCAAACCCCGACCCCAAACCCTACCCCTCCCTCCCCTTCTCCTTCCTTCCCTCTTCCCACAGTCTTCCCGGAGCGCTACCTTCTGGCTATCATTTTGATTGGGAAGCCATTTGAGAGGCGGCGCGTGAAGCAAATCCACTAAAACATCGGCTCCAAGAGGCGGCGCGTTTAAACAAATCCACGAGAACACGTTCAGCAAATCCACGAAAACATTGGCTGTGAGAGGTGGCGCGTTAAGCAAATCTGTCAGTGCCAATATTGCAATGTTGTCTACGCAGGCTTTTCGCAAGCGAACTGCCGGAGCACTCTGTTATAAGAATGCGTTGTCCGCTCTGCCGGATTGCATGGAACGTACGTCACTGCATTGGAAGGCTGCCACCACTCTCTTGCTATCTGGGGTCTATGCTGGTATTTTATTTATTCACTTATTTGTTTGTTTATTGATTTATTTATTTATCTATTTGTTGTTCTCTTTGTTTACTAGATGCTTATATCATTTTGAGTCAACAGACCGAGAGAGAGCGAGAGAGAGAGAGAGAGAAGAAACAAAAATGACATTGTCCAACCCAGAAGAGTCGCCTTCTTGTTGTGGATGTTGGGTGTCGCCTCCGAGGAGATGCCACCACCGCCGCCAGTCACGAAGCAGGTCAATCCTCCCAGCCTGACACTGTCAAGAACAAATTTGTGCTTTTGCCTGGTGCGGCCACTGCGGCAGCCACATGTTCCCTGAAAGTGAGCAGATGGAACTGGCAAAGCGGAAAGTCGGCAAGCTTCTATCTTGAACGAAACAATCAAAGGCGCCTGTTTGGGCTCCAAAGCTCTTGGTCATGACGATGTCCAGTAACAAGCAGATCAAGCCCGTGCCTCGCGCAAAGAGGAAACACACATCCTCCGCAGAAACCGAATTGACAGCTGCAATCAAAGATTGCCAGGCTGCTGGTTGTGCATTTGCACCTAGAATCAGGACACCAAGACTCAGTTAACACTACATCTTCTGCAGTTGCTGCACCATTTTGACCACGCCACCCAGAAGCCGGATTCAAAACCGCAGGGGAAGTGCGTCACCGCCACTTGCCAGTCTGCCTGTGACTTTGCCAGGCCATCTGCCAGCCAGGCCTGGGAATGCACACAAGTTTCCGCCCTAAACATGGCAAAGCTTAGATATCTCAACGAATCATGACCCAAGTCTGCGCATCTGTTTGGCCTAGCCCATCATGACAAAAGACTTCGCAACGACAGCGCCTTGTTGGTGGACCACAAATCCCAGAACCACTGCTTGCACGTCTGCAGGTTCTCTGGGCCACCTACAGATTGCCGCAACTTCAGAATAAGTGCGGATATCATAGCTATCCCCACAAAAGCGCAGCACCTTCGGGACCTTCGGGGCAAAATGACAGTTTAGCGAAAGGCAGCTAAAGGCGGAGGCCTGAAGAGGCGCAGCTTGCATCGGGCGAGTTGTGCTTGGCACCGCAAATGTTGTGCTCGGGGTCCTCCTCCAAGTCTTCCGCATCCATAGCGTTGGAATCGACCATGAAAATGTCCATGGTGTAGCCTGCATCGACGAAATTCACGTGCTGGCTCCAATATGCGGCAGGCATTCTCCAGCGGTTGCTCTTCCAGGTGTAGGCAATCTGCTGGTCCTGGGATGTTTGGCAAAGCGAAACGACAAGCAGAATCCCCAAAACTGAGCGCTCACTTCGAGCTGAGAATCCCAACCGTTGTTGAAGACACGGCCTCCCCAGTCATGGTTTCCAAGCACGCTCAGCCAAACCTTGCCATCGAGACCTGGTCCATTGTAGACACCCTCAAAGATCTGGTCGAACTGGTGATGAGCCGTGTAAGACAACTCATCCATGGGAGTGCCACAGGTCTTTTCAATGCCGCCCCAATAAAAGTTGTCGCCAACATTCAAAATGAAGGCCGGTTCCTTCTTGGCTGCACGGACCTTGAACGAATTGGCCACAAGAAGCTGCGGCTGATCATCGATGCCCTTCACAAAGCCACAGCCCAGTGCGCAAGATTGCCCCATTGTCTTGTAGCATTCCACAAACTCAGTGTGATTGCACAGCTGCTGCGAGTGTGCTTTGTTCCAGCGAGTTCGGGGAAACACGCTAGGCCCTGACCTAACACCGGCAGGGTACGCGATGAGCTGAGTTCTTCCCTCGATGGGGTTCAGCGTGCCATCCATACCGCCCCAGTCGCCTTAGAGAGCAACATATGAGTAATTACACAGAGCCACAACAAGGCCCATGTTGCACTCGTATTCTAATTGCGGCCTGAATGCCAATGGCGAAAATGTGATGGGGGCCCATGCCTTTGACCTCCATGTCTTCCCAGGCCATGCCGTTGTAGTCAAGTGCCTTCTTGGGCGGCTTGCAGGCGATGCTGTTGCTGTCATCCCCGCAATTCGAGGAAGTGGAGGGGCTTTGCCCAGTTTGGATACAAACATTGCAAGGGGGGTTGCTACACTTGCAAGGGGGAGTGCCACATTGCTTGCCGCCGGGTGGAGCGCAAAAGTAGAGCTTTTGCCAGTCATCCCGGCTGGCTGACTTGTAGTCAACGCCCGCAATCGCCTGCATGTCCTTGAACCAGCTGTCCGCATTTGGATCCCATCGACCCCCATCGGATGCCCACCTGACCACTGGTGCGCAGACCTCATTTGCAGGATCGTTCAGGTCTGCACACGCTGGTCCGGAGTCAGTGCTGTTCGAGAGCTCCACATCTTTAGAAACTCCTCGAAGCTGGATGGCGCTCAGGGCACATTCTGTGCCTTCAGCGCACTCATCATCGACATGAACTAGTTCGGACTCCAGCGCAATGGCCGGAATCAGCAGGGCCGCAAAGCGCTTGATGACCATGGAGGCCATCAAATGCCAGAAGGGCAAAGCACTGTTCGCAGGGTTCAAACTTGAAAAGAAACCCTGTGAGCCGATCGCAGGAGTTACAAGTCTATAGCAGCCATCTTGCACCAAGCCAGCTTGCATCCAGGTTCAAATAGTCAGCAAGCAGCAGGTGCAACAAGCTCCGCAACTGACAGACACTGCCGTGCACCGCATGCGCAACCAAATGGGCGCTATTAGGTTGATATGTTTTCCTCCTTGCATAGGGCAATGGTGGTCAGAAACAATGCAGCTGCGAAGTACAGTTGGGAACAGACTCTTAAATCAATACTGGGGATCGTGCCCCACAAGCTGCGCAAAGGGCTATTGCTAAAGCAAGTGCCGCGCCCAAAGATAGGGTACTGTATCACTCATTGCGCGGTGCTTGTGCGAGGCAAAAAGGTTCAATCTTGGAAAAGAAGTCACTTTCGCCAAACATGATCGCAAAAGCGCTCATCTCTTCCTGTAGAACAAACTGCGGGTCTCGGACTGCGCCCCTGCCGGCGGCCACATTGCGCATGTTGGCTTCAGTCAAGTTTGCCTCACAGGAGCAAGGCAATCTGAACACAATCCGACGTCCTTGCGCGTGTAGCCTCGAGATTCTCCTTCCTCACCGATACTCGCTCATCTTCACCGTATCAGCCTTTGCGACATAGTCATCGACCTGCACAAGTTGCACGCAGCAGCAATGTTTGATTACGGCTGGCGACATCCAGGATGCACATTGCTCAAGCCTGATCGAAGTTCAAGTACTGGTAAATAGAGTCCGCACTCTTGGCCAGCTCTGTATGGTACTTCAGGTACTCCTTCACTTAATCAAGCTCGATCGAACCATTATCATCTTCACTCCAGGGACCCTCAAGTGCTCATGCCATATTCTGCTTCGCGTATGCCCTCTTCGTGCCTCCCGGGTTGGGAGTCGGCCCAAAATAGCCGCCACAGCAGCAAGCTCAGCGGATGCCAGGTAGACATTCGCACCTTGCTCGGCAAGTCCCCTAAGCACTCATGCAGGGGACTCTGCACTTTGAGGAATCAAAGACTGCGGACTGCACCTTTGCCCAGGCGGTTGGGGAAGTTGCGTGTGGAGGTGGAGACGACAGTGGCATTGTCTGCCACGCGTGCCTGCACTGGAGCAACTATTATAATTGTTTGTTGCGAAACGGCACTGTTTTCCAACTTCGACATTTCGACATTCTTCCGGCCCTGCCTGGTTTCCCATGCACAGGGAGCAGCCGGGCATCTCTGTTCGGGCACCCGCCTTGCCGTAGACCGAATAGTAGCCCTCCTTGGTCAACTGCTCCTGCATTGTTTGCAAGCATTTCCACCTCATACTCACATGAAATAACAGTTCTGACTTGGCTACGGGAGTGCAAACGGCTTCCAGAAATCTCCTCATCCATCTTGGTGGGCGGGGCGATCCACAATCGCGTGGTTAGCTGTCCATCAAACTGACCGAGCATCTTGCCAGCCGCACGATAGTGACCTTGCAGCTCGGCCAACAACTCTCACACTCTGGACATGAACCAACCAAGCCCTCGGCCAATGTTCCTCAGTGACAAGGAAACTGTGATCCATCCACCATCATTTCAACTGTGACAAGCTCCGCTGGCACCGATACTGCCTCCGATCAAAAGACTTGCACCCAAGAAACGTCATGCAAGAGCCAATGAACACTTCGTCGATGTTGGCCGTGCCAATCTGCAAATCGACTGCTGCGAAATCGCCATGAATATTTGCTGCATGTGTTCGGCCTCCGTAAGTGTCTTGGCATCATCCGGATCATTCGGGCAGCACAGAACCGGCTCCTAGACAAGAATACCCTGAGGACCATGTCTTGTCGATGAGGGAGAAAGGCAAGTCCTTCAACTCGTCCAGATTGATCTCAATGACTGCCTCGGACGCGCATTTGCCCTGGCTCTGACGGCTCTGGGAACAGCGCCCGAGCTCAGCACTGCATATTCTGCACCCTTGTCTGCCTGAAATAGACGCAAAACACAAACAATCTCCACTGAGTTCACAGGCATGTTCAGGCCAGCCTCCATCAGGCTGGGCTTCTCCAACCACTCCTCCATCTTGCCGATGCGTCGCGCAAGCGTGCGGGGGTCGCTGTATCCCTGGGAGATCATCCACTTCAGCAGCCTGGCAGAACATGTGAAAGAAGTCTATATTCTTCCAAACCATGCTCACACTCAGTGCGAACCAAGAATCGTAATGTTGGACTTCAGGTACTCCCTCACAGGCCCCTTGTCACGGGCGAAACTATTTTGCAAAATATACTTACTGAATCAACAATCAGCCTAGTGATCATGCACAAATGCACAGTGGAACTGTGCCTCAGTCAACTTGATGGTGCACCCGGCCGCAGAGCGCTCTGCAGAAGCATCAGATAGCTCAAATGCCTGCTCGCACTTCCTGTCAGAGAGATATAGTATCTGCAAGACTGCAAAGCAAAAAGCAAAAGGTTGCAAGCATAAAACTGGAGCAGACTACAAGGAATGACAGCTGCGCAGCGTGATCACCATATGAGTCGCAATCAAAACCTAGCACCAAAATTTCTACCCAGAACCATGTACAGGATTAAGACGGCCGCAGCTATTTATGGTTGGGATCGTCCCGTACTAACCTTCATCACCCGGGTTTTGATTGTGGCTCATATTGAGCTGAGATTCAGGTCAGGCAGTCCCTCAATCTCCAAGACACGGCCGTTGAAAATGTTCTTCTTGCCCTTCTTCTCGACAGTGAGCAGTCCCTTGCTCAGGCCGAATGTTATGATTGCTCCATCCGGTGCAAGCCTGCCTGCTTGATGGCGTAGTATGGAATGGCATGCACCAAGTCACGGAGAGTGACTCCAGGCTGCATCTTTCCTTGAAGCGAAGCAAATCATATTCAAAAGTACATCCCAATGGTCAAAGCTCCGAGCTTCAAACAACTCTGTCCAAAGCCAAGATGCCTGAAAAGCGAACCAACACAGACTCAGGCATGTTCAAGGGCATCACGCCGGTGGCAGCAGCGAAGGCGACCAGGCCAGAGCCAGCAGGGAAGGAGATACCGAGAGGGAATCGCGTGTGCGAATCGCCGCCTATCAGTGGCTGAGCTGAGCTGAGCTGGGTGGTTCACTCAATGGTTCATGTCCAATTCTACAGCCCACACTGCCCGCACCTGTTCCGACCTCATCGGGGAGAAGCATACGATTGAGCCACGAGTGAATGATGCCGTCTCCCGGGCGAAGGGCGACACCACCACGATCAGCAATGAACTTCGGCAGCGTGCTGTGGGTAATCACCTTGGTATCTCGCAGGGCAAGTGGCTTTGCTTGTGTGCGGCTTCAAACTTTATTGAGCAGTATGACAAACTGACACGTGCCATATTTCAGGATCCCACATCCACTGGCTTGGGATACGCCGCCGTATGGCAGAAAGACTGCATGACAAGGTCAGCCTGGAAGCCCAGGCATGCCAAATCCTTCAGCTCATCACGTGTCATCGGTCCAGTAGTATCCTGAGAACCCACAGTACCCATACTGGGCTCGCAGTATGCTCCTGGCACGACGCCATCCACGCCGCATGCCTTTCCAACCATCTTCTGTGCAAGTGTGAAGCCCTTCACGTTCACTTCTGGTTGGGCCATCTGCTTGAAAGTAGTCGTTGGCCCCAGGCTCAAAGTCTCCCGCGCCCTGTTGGTGAGTCCACGACCAATGATGAGTGGGATTCGACCACCAGCCCGCACCTGCCAAACGCATGCACCAAACACTATCCTGCCTACCCTGCCTGAACAGCTGCAATTTTCTTGAGTTTTGGACCAGCCTGATCCAACATCAGATCGTGCTTCAGGTCAAACTTGGTGATCACGTCGTCTGTACCATGCTTCTTTACTGCCTTCTCGCGCACATACAGGTCGATGAGGTCCCCCATTCCCAAGTCCTTGACTTCCATTTCCAAGGGCAGAGCGCCAGAGTCCTCCATGGTATTGAAGAAAATGGGGGCGATGACTCCGCCAATCACGAAGCCCCCGGTTCGCTTGTTCGGTGCGCAAGGGATGTCTTGGCCTCAACGATTACGCATCGCATAAGCAAACTTGATGGATTTGCTTCCCGGGCGCCCCACCCATGTACCACAAAATGGAATTTGTGGCTGACTTTCGCGATGATCCGGTGCCGACAACATCACCGACATAAGCCAGCTGGTGGCCTTTCCTGAGCAAATGCCCAGCAAAACGCCCGCAAAGGTCACAGGCCAAGGTGCTTTTTCAAATCCTCAATCTGCTCTGCCGCATTAGTGATGCCATCTCGGGGAAACTTCCTTCAGCCATCGGGCAGTTCACTCCGATCAGAAAAACGAAGCCGCTCTTCAGTTCATGCGAAACTGTCGCCAAGTTTCAGCATGGCCAAAGCGTGAAGCGGGATGTCGGGACGGGACCAGGCATCAGGTGCAGGTGACAAATCATCCGTATTCGTCTCGCCGGTGACTTTGAAAACGCAAAGGGTCACCTGAGGCATCTATCCAGCACATACCAGCAAATTCTGCATACAGCACAAGTCTTGCAGTTCTCAACGCTGCACCTTCTCGGGCACTTCAGGACGGCGTGTGAACCATTCTGCATTGGCCCAAGATTCGATCACCTTAGATCGCCACGTGGTCGGACGTGACGATTAGAGTTGTTTTTGCAGCCCTGGCCTTCTTGGCGTGGAGGTTGCCCTTCTTCATCTTCTCTTCCACGTCGTAATACGCATCAAACATAAGGATCCTTGCACCAATTGACTTCACCCAAGGAAATATTCTTCCAAAAGACAACTGCCATATGTGACATACATAGTCCATATAATATAGATAAATCAATGCGTATGCTTTAACTACAGCTTGGTGTCATTCGGCTAAGGCCGGCGACTGCTGCCTCTGCCAGTTCCTGCGACATAGCAGGCAGTAGCACAGTGACTGTGATACTCAGAAAGGCTTCAAAAGCCCTGGACTACCTAAAGACATGAAAAAGGACGAAAAAGGATGAAAAAGGGCCAAAAGGAAGAGAGCAGTAGAGGAGGATCGACCAAAACATTGACCAGAGAGCAACAGGGCTCACAACTATAGATGTGTATAAATTTGTGAATCGCTGCGAACGATCACCAAGCCTGTTCCAGATCCAAAGCTTCAATCAGAGGTGCAACGTTGTAGCCACCCTGCATCCACCCGAGCATCTCCACCTGTTGTGGGCGCTTTGTGTCCCACCCAAGAGATCGCTCCGAGCCATGCAATTCAAGACAGGATCTGAAACACTGAGGCACCGACCGCGTCTGCTTTGGAGACAAGAGGCGTAGAAACTTTGCCGTGAATAATGTCACCTGATGAAAGCAAATGCAAAATGTTTCAAAATTGTCCGCGAATACAATGTTTCTGCTGCAAGTGCAGTGTCCCAACATTAGAATAGGGCTCGCACGCAAAAAGTTTGCCTTCACATGACTGGAGTCGTCCACCTCACTTCCAAATGGAATGCGAATTGCCTGCTTCGCTGGGAAGAAGACACATTCTCGTTGTAATGTTCCATTGAGATCACGTCTGTAATGCGAATCTATACTTTGTATTGTTTCCTTTATTGAAGGCTAAGGTCCGGGCACCAGGGTTCACTCTGTTTCGGAGAAGGTCGTAGTAAAATGCTCCGTCCGCTGGTGCCTGAAAAGCAGGTGCTGCAAACTACATGCCACCAACAGCATAGCTTGTATTACCAGCCTTCTTGAGCATCTCGACCACGCACTCAGCCTGTTGCAAATCGCATGGGATCTGGCACAGCACTGCCGACACCCAACAAAAGCTGACATAGCAAGCCGTGAAAGCCGTGCAAGCCGTGGCCTGGCTGGCGTCCAGGGCCAGCGGCGGAATGCCCTGTGTGGCACGCTCCGCTACATGAGCCTCGTAGGCAGCCTTGAATGCCTGGCACTCGAAGACACGACACTCCGCTTTGAACATGGCGGTCATGGCTTCCAGGGGCCAGTGCGATCACCAGTGCGATCACCGGCCTCGGGCTGCATGGCCGCAAAGGCGCGCACCTCAAAAGCGTGGAAATGCACGCGTCAGTTTGGATCAAAAAAACTGCCAACCTGGTGAATGCCCACACTGCGCGCCAATGCCTATGTCAGGCCAAAACATGGCCACTGCGGCATCTGCTCTCCGAAACAGGAAAATCAGAAAACAGAATAGCCGCAGGAATCTTGCCTTGGACGCAGGATTCCGTACTGCACGCATCATGGCCTTGGCAGCTGAATGAGTGGGCCCAATGCTGAGACTCGATCAACCAGAGCTCCATCCGTGGGGAAATGGAAATCCATCTAATGCACACAACAACAATGATGCGTCAGCACAAGGGGTCCGCACTTTGAGCAATCCTTCAGAACAGCAGTGAATCACCCTGCCCCAGCTGCAGCCAGGCAATGGTCTAAGGCAAGGGCTCCCTCACTGGAAAAGATCGATGTCGCGGAAGGAAGCAAATACGTTCTTTTGAGCCAGCAAACAAGCGCGCCATGCTTTCCTCTTTTGAAGCAGCATGTTGACCCGAACCATCAAATACCTGAACAAGTTACTTCTTTTGAGAATGCTTCGATGCACTGCTGCTTCTGGGGCATCAGCCTTGCTGTCGAGCCACCTCCACCACCATTCCTTGCCTTATCAACTTCAAAAATGTCTTTCTCTCTTCATATCGCACTGGAAGCTGCAAAAGGTCTGCGAGGCTGAGATCCCAACAGAACAGCCGACATTAAGCAGCGGCCGAAGGTGTTCAGGGAGAGAAAGCCCTGCACAACAAACAGCTCGCAAAAGAAGTGGAAAGAGAACAGTCGGTCAGGTTCGATGTCTGTCAACCACAACACCTAGCAGCCCAAAATTTCAACACTCATGTTTGTCAGGTCCATGGCATCATGGATTCTCGCCCGGCCAGCACACTTGCGTAGCTTTGCGCCAAGCTCGCGCCAGCATATGTGCCAGCCACAAGGAGCATGCTGCCAGCCTCAAGAGTAGCATTTGGTTCATGGACATCATATTTACAAAAGAAAGCTTGACCTGCACAGAACTCATATAACCATGCCGCATGCCCAAAGAGACTTACACAGATCCACACGGCAGTATTAAGCTCGTGACCAGGTAGGGCGTTCTCTTTCGACCGAATATAGGCATGCGGTCGCTGGCCATTGCTAGTGCAGGTTTCAGCATGAAGGGCAAAGAGGAGAAGCCCATCGCAAGGGAAATGTCCACCGGGTTGAGATGAAGTTCATCCTCAGGAATTCACAAGCACTGTCGCAACCAAGGCTTCGCAACTGTCACAGAATACTGTACATACAAACGGAAACAGATTCAAAAAACATGCCGCTGCAACCAAAATCCTTCAATATGTAGAATATAGGTAAATATTGGCCACCATCGCAGCATCCATCCAGCACAGTGGCTTGACGCACAAGTGACTCTTGTGCCGCAACCGCCCGCTTTGTGCGGTCTGCGTCGTTATCATAATTATCTGAACCACCCAAAAGACGACCACCGTATCGCAGCACATGTGCGTCCGCGTCGTCGACGTTTGCAACGTCCTGCTTCGTGCCTGCACCATATGCTGATTTCAGCTGAAACTGGAAGCCGTCTTGAACGGCCCGAAGTGCAGTGGACAAGAAATTCGACGCGTTCAGAAGGCCTTGGTATGGCAAGTCAATCGACATTCAATCTTGATAAGCCCAAATCCTAAACGCGGCAGTTCACAACGATGCTGGAGGGCACCTACTTGCAAACCAGGTGCCCGAAGCACAGGGTGTGGAAGCCTCAAATCACAAAAAGCTTGACTGCGGCAGATGCCCAGCCAGCTCCAAACCACAAACATGGCCTTTGATTTGCGCTTTTATACTGAGGTGTCGGCACCCAAAGTTGGCAAAAAGCTTGCCGCCTGCGCAATGCTTAGCACATTCCACACCCAATATGATGTAGTAGAGAAAAATCACGCCTCATCTGCCGTCGTTTGACGCCAAACATGGCCGCCGTGGGCCACAGCCCCCACCACTCGGGGCGGGGTGACCATCAAGCAGGCCGAACAAGGCATACATTCAATTGCTTGCCATCAAGAATTTGACTTCCAGCACAGTAAACCCTTTAAGCATGCAGTGTCCGATGTGCAAAGTCTGCTGCGTATTTTGCGAGTTGTTTCTTCACATCGCTTTTTGGCCAAATCAAGCTCCCAAATTTTGGGAGTTGAGATTGTCCATCCTTGACAGTACAAATGGTGCATAAAGATTTGGAGTGGCATCATTGATTGTGCCCATATTTAATTGCGTCGAACATGTTTTTGGACCTACTTGTTCGCGCGAGTCACGTTCAACTTGCCTTCTGGTGGCCAACGTATTGTATATTGCCAACAATTTGTTTGCATGTTTGTGCGCTATTCGTTGACACTCTGGCTGTAATTGTTGTGCAGCAAGGGCGGGAATTTGTGCGGCCGGTATGGCTGTTGAGCTTGCCAGTTGCGTGCGCTTGGCTTTAAATGTTTGGGGTCCAGCTTGCACACGACCATTCGATGGATTTTTGCCTTCCAAATGTTGAGATTTTTTATTTTATCATTGTGCTTGGTGTGTGTTGTTTTTGCGGAGCCATCGGCTAATGCCTATGGGTGCGGATTTATTTTGGGACTTTTGTTGCTTTTTGTGTGTGTGTTTTTTTTTCTAGTTTTTCGTCCGGGCCAGTAAAATGTCGCATTTTACAGCATTTTCTCGCGAAATTGACGCATTTTACACTAGCCCGCCAACATCCCCAGCATCGTTTTCAACATCCCCCGCATGTCCTTCCAACATCCCTAGCATCACCGACAAATCGTGGGTAACAAAATCCAAAAAGTAGCTGGCGGGTTGACGGGGTCAAAAAAATAATGCTTCAAACAGGAGGGCATTTCAATCCCAGCAAAAAAAAAAACACAGAGCGGGGGGATTGGGGGCCCATGATGGTCGCAGAAGTCGAATAATTAAATCTCTGCAAAAAGTCCAAAAACTAGCGGGGATTGGGGGGGGGGGGCGGCAAAAAAAAAAAACAACAATTAAAAACACAGAGCGGGCGGGTTGGGGGGGGGCGGCAGCCCCCCCCATGATGGTCGCAGAAGTGATGATTCGATTAGGGGTGCAATTAAATCTCTGCAAAAAGCCTAAAAACTAGCGGGGGTTGGAGCGGGGGTTGGGTGGGGCGGCAGCCCGCCCCCCATGATGTTCGAAGAATTGATGATTCAACTAGGGGTGCAATTAATTCAATCTCTGTAGAAAATCTAAAACGTAGCGGGGGGGTTGGGGGGGCCCCCCCATGATGTCGGAAGAAGTGATGATTCAAGTAGGGGTGCAATGATTCAAGAAAGGGTGTGATAGAATTTAAAAGGCAGCGGGAGGGTTGGCGGGGGTGGCTTCCCCTATGATGTTCGAAGAAATGCATACATACAGACATACATGGATTACACAGATTACCTAAAATGTCGTATTTTGCAGCATTGTCTTGCGAAATTGGACGCTCCAAAAAGTGATGATTCAAACAGGGGTGCAATTCAATCTCTGCCGGCCAGTAGAATGTCGTATTTTACAGCATTTTCTCGCGAAATTGACGCATTTTACACTAGCCCGTCAACATCCCCAGCATCGTTTTCAACACCCCGCATGTCCGACCAACATCCCTCGCATCACCAACAAATCGTGTGACGGGGTCAAAGAAATGATGATTCAAGTAGGAGGGCATTTCAATCCCTGTCAAAAAAAAAAAAATGTAGTGGGGGAGCGGCAGCCCCCCCCATGATGTTGTTTGCAGAAGTGATGATTCGATTAGGGGTGCAATTAAATCTCTGCAAAAGTCAAAAAAGTAGCGGGGGGGTTGGGGGGGGCGGCAGCCCCCCCCCCATGATGTTCGAAGAATTGATGATTCAACTAGGGGTGCAAATAATTAAATCTCTGCAGAAAAACTAAAACGTAGCGTGGGGTTGGGGGGGGGGGGGGGCGGCAGCCCCCCCCCTATGATGTCCGAAGAAGTGATGATTCAAATAGGGTCGTGGTGATGCTGATGAAACCAATAGCCAAAAAGCCCGCAGGATGCGAAAAGCCAAAGCCGCCAAAAGCCGCATAAAACAGCGAAAAGCCGCAAAAGCCGAAACGCCACCTGCCGAAGAGGAACTGGGAATGCAGAGGATGCGAAAAGCAAAAAAGCCGCCAAAAGCCGCCAAAAGCCGCATAAACCAGAAGCCGAGAAGCCAAGAAGCCGAAAAGCCAAGAAGCCAAGAAGCCAGAAAAGCCAAGAAGCCAAGAAGCCGAGAAGCCAAGAAAAAGCCAAGAAGCCAAGAAGCCGAGAAGCCAAGAAGCCAAAAAGCCAAGAAGCCAAGAAGCCAAGAAGCCAAAAAGCCAAGAAACCAAGAAGCCAAAAAGCCAAGAAGCCAAGAAGCCGAAAAGCCAAGAAGCCAAGAAGCCAAGAAGCCAAGAAGCCAAGAAGCCAAGAAGCCAAGAAGCCAAGAAGCCAAAAGCGGGGGGGAAAAAAAAACATCCAATGCCTATTGTCAAGCAGGTATGCAAACAGAGCGCAACGGTTTTCAGAGCACGGAGCAGAATAGAGGAAGCGGAGCGAGAGGGCGGAAAAGAAGAGTAGGCAGTAGAGTGGAGAAACGAAAAGCTGAGAGGAGAGACGAAGAGTCTCAAGTTCTATCCCTGATGTGATGTCCTTGATGAGGTAGAAGTGGTCAAGCTTTGCACATGTAGGAAACGAACGACTCCAAAGATGTTGCCCCCGAAAATGGAAAATCAAACTGACACAACTTGTTTGGAACCATGTCATTTTGAAATGTCTGCAGAGAACTGTTTACTGACTCAAAAGCCTTGCGCTGGTTTTGTTTTCCTTTTTTCCAGGCAATCAAACACTGCAACCGAATGTCATTACACAAATGACCGCAAAAAATACTGCACGGTACAAGTATATGTTAACAAGTTATCCAGGCGATTGAGTAAGGGATGTAGTGCACCATTGACCCCGCCTTCATAGGTTTGCCAAAATAAAATTCGGCAACTTGAGACCTAAGCATTAGTCCTCATGTGCAAAACGAGTTTTTCTTCTCACCACGCGCTTTCCGTCTGCACACAAGGTAAAAATGAACAAAAGGGTCAAAAGGCTCAAAAATCAAAGCGAGAAGCACTCTAGGGCTGCGAAGAAATGTCTCAGCGCCAGTGTAGGCGCGGCGAAATGTGTGTGGTCTTCCACACCGCGGCAAACACAATGCTGCTCTACCAATTTGCCACGCGCTCCTATTGCGCGTCCTGGACAACGCACGAGTTAAAGGTCCCGCGCTGCTCCTAGCCTCCCCAGAACCCAAAAGCCGACCGCAAGGCGCACACCTTTTTTACCGGGTTGCTTGGGAAGGTAGCACTTTCCTAGGGCACTGCGGTGCACCTGGGGGCGAGAGATTCCCCCCCCCTGTGAAACAGATCGCAAGACATGCGTGTCCTTGCTTAAAAGTGCCGAATGAAGGCGTGGCATGCGCGCCCACACCTGCATCAGAGGGCCAGCGGGCCCAAAGATGCAAATAGGGCCAGACCGCGGGTCTGGGCCCTGATGACAGGCGGGGAGAGCGCTCCCAGTTTTTTCCCCGGTGGACTCCAAAGCTTGGAGGACCGCCCGGGAAGCCTAAGCATGCTTAGGGCTTAGAAGGGTTGGGTGGGTGGGCTTCAATCGAAACCAGGACTGCGAGTCCTAAACGTGAGTTTGAGGGCTAGGAGCACCAAACGGCAGCGGCGCAGAAGATTCACCCCAGACCTATAAAACACAAGGGAAAAGAAAACCCTTAGCGTTAAAGGTCCCGCGCACTGCTCCTAGCGCTCGTCGGTTGCGAAGCTCACGCTGGGGCGCTGCCCCTCGGAGAAGGCCCTGGGCTCATGGGATTTCCAGCGAAGCTTCGCTCTGCCAAAACAGCGGCTCCATGCACAAGAATTTGCCACCCTTTGCATTGGAGCGCACCTCGCCCAACTTCCACATGCTAGCCTGGCTCGTCATCCTTTTCTGTCTCCGATTAAAAAAAGATTGGTCCGAGCATGCGAAACTGCTTGAGCCGCGCCCTTGCCTGTGCGTGCTTTGTTGTGCTGGTGGTAATTGTTAAACATGCCGAGACTGCTGGAGCTGTTTTGCGGCACAAAGTCGATTGGCCGAACCTTCGAGGCGGCTGGGTGGGAGGTCGTCTCCCTGGACATCGTGTGCCGAAATTTGAGCCCACGATCCTGTGCGACATCCGGAGCTGGGACTACACGCTGTTTCCGCCGGGGCACTTTGACATGGTCTGGGCCAGCCCGGTCTGCACGGAGTACAGCAGAGCTCTGACGATGCGCCCCCTCAAATCACCAAAAACCCAGAACCCAAAAGATGACCGCAAGGCGCAAGCTTTTTTTACCGGGTTGCTTGGGAAGGTAGCACTTTCCTAGGGCACTGCGGTGCACCTAGGACAAGGGGCGAGAAATTCCCCTCCTTCAGTGCTTCCCAATGCAACCCCGGAACAAAGCCCTCAATTGAGGCCAAGGCGCAAAGTCCCCCTCTTTAGTCACGCGGCCTGTTAGGCGATGCCATTGGAGGGCAAGGGCGCGTAGCGGTGAGAGGCGACTCTTGCTAGCCCTGAAACACGCAAGGGCATGTTGAGGCACGTGTTACAAGTGCCCGGCAGCTGCGGCGCCGTGCGGGCAAACATGCAATTCCTCTGCTGCTGGAGGTGCGCAACCAGGACGCCGTCAACAAGGAGCAGAGCGCCCTGCTGCTGTCGAAGGAGCAGCTGCACCGGTTGTACGAGCAGGCAACCCGGGAACCCGACAGCTTTCTCTTTGTGTACTACCTGAAGCTGAAGAACGTAATGTTCTACAATCAGCGGGCTCCTTGGGTGCCCCAATCAACCTGCCCTGTATATTCACGCGACGGTTCACCAGTGGATGTTCTTGAACAGATCTTCAAGGTCACCAAAGCTGATGCCGATCACTTGCAACACTTCAAGGCACGAAATGCCCATATACATCAAGCAGATGTCATCGCCATAAGGCAAATGGGCTCAAAAGGCATTTC